CACCATGACGCTTGTGCCAGGCTAGGTGCACACAGCAAACGCACACACATGTACATCTTACACCTGTGACCTCCACGCCCCAAGGAGGTGCACCAGCATCGTCGCATCTTCCCAAATGGCTCCCAACAAGACGACCTCACCAGAAGTCGAGCTCCAGGAGGCGCGGGAAGAACACGGCGTCCAGGTAGACGGACAGGAGGTTGCGAAAGTCTTGAGGGTTCTGGGTGGAGAACGGGTACATCGTGTAGTCGCTCGCTGTAGGTGGGGGGGGGGAGGGAAGGAGCAGGGTGGCAGGAGGGAGGGACACAACAATTACATCGCCTACATTGTCTTTATCAGAGGAACCGGTTATTGTATTTATTGATTTAGCGCCATTCTCCGGATTCGTTTCACACGCACTGCGTTAGATGTAAATGAGACCCGGCCAGGGTCGACCATCTCGCAGAAAACCCAACGCTGAGAGTTCAAACCCTGGTTGGAGGGTGAGGGGGGGATGCGTTGACTCAGCTCACAATCCTTCCCTACATCATCGATAAAATGAGTATCACTTTGTGGAATAGTTAACAGTTCACCATATGAATGTGGAATTTCCACCACTGGCTCAGGGCTATGTTCAGGAGATGAACACCACCTCAACCCTCATGTAAGCAGGAAATCGCTTAAACGTCCGTCATGTGAATATTTACTGAATCACTCAACTCCTCTTGCGATATTAGGGGACCCTCCCTGAGCATGAGGCTCCTGCTCAGCCGTAGCTTCGTGGGCCCCCGTCTCTCGGTACACCTAGTCGGGTGTCCGGTCTTCGGAGCCAAAGGCCCAAAAATGTTTCAGCGGTACCACCTAGGGTGGCAGCTGCTACCCTAGGTGGCAAAAGAAGAATGTCATCAAGACTACTAACGCTTGTGATGGCCAGATCACCGTGGTAGCTTCCTGTGGGAATGTTGTTAAATAGGTGCACTGTATATAAATCTGTCGTTAAAACCCACCACCACCCGACACAGCCAACTAGTAAGGGTTGTTACGTAAACAGAACATGACAAATTTCGATTTAAAGCTTTCGTGACTGCAAGGATTCATATTCTTTGGTTCTTTCGGTAAAGTCACGTAGAATAAGAATAAAATAATAAATTGATAAAATAAAATAACACAATAATATTCTCACGACGTTTCGGCCACAACACAAGCGGCCTTCATCAGGTGAAGGGGACGAGACTGTCTGGAGAACAGCGTTGCTCCAGCGCTGTCCTCCAGACTGTCTGTCCTCCAGACAGTCTCGTCCCCTTCACCTGATGAAGACCGCTTGTGTTGTGGCCGAAACGTCGTGAGAATATTATTGTGTTATTTTATTTTATCAATTTATTATTTTATTCTCATTCTACGTGACTTTACCGAAAGAACCAAAGAAGAACATGACAATTCGTCACTAGAACAGCACACCGGTGTGTTGGAGAGCCAAGCCACAACATTTACAATCTGAGTTACCCATTTCGCCAGTAACTGCAACTAGCTTCATCAGGCAACAGCCAGATTTGTGGAGAAGTCCACCTGTTTCGTTCCTTATATAGAGGCGTAGATGTGGTGACCACACTTCTGCGCTCTTGCGCAAAGTGGGGGGGGATTAATGAGTCAGCGTACATTAACCCAAAAAACCTCTATTATAGATATTGGTCGCGAAAGCCTATGTGTTAAACCGAGGTTCACCGTAGTATGTTTGACACAGAATGTAATATTGAAATAAAAACTATTTGACATGATTTTATACTTTCAGAATATGAGAATACAAACCGCGTGTATCTCTAACACAGAGGGGGTATCTGCTCAAAGGTGAGCACCACTTAAAGCGGACACCGTCCAGGGTGGGCACTGCCCATGGTGGACACTGCCCATGGTGGACACTGCCCATGGTGGATACTGCCCATGGTGGACACTGCCCACCGTGGACACTAGCAGCAGTCGCTACCCCAGGTGATTCCGACCAACCACGTTGGGTCGTATGCCCGGCGTGCGAGCGGGCAGGCGCCGTGCCCACCGGTGAAGGCGTTCATGAAGGTAGCGAGCGAGCGGTTGAGCATCTTGAAAAATGGGTCTCGGCACGGGAAGCGGCGCGAGCCGCACAGCACCACGTGCTCCAGAATATGCGGCACGCCGGTGCTGTCCCGCGGGGTGGTGGCCAACTGCACACTGCAGACACACGCGCATACACACTTCATCATCATCATCATCACGAGCCATGGCCAATCCACTGCTGGATGAAGGCCTCCCAAAGCCGGTGCTGTCCTGCAGAGTGGAAGCCAGTTGCACGCTGTCAGCCTTCATAAAAGGTACTCAATAACAGCACTTGCCCCGACAGCATGTGCAGACTACGCGGGGGAGCTCAGTCTTTGTGTTTGTGGGTGCGTGCACCTGAACAGGTTGTTGGGGTCATCACGTGCCAGGTGGAGGTGCTGAGCGCCGGTTCTGTCGTGCCTCAGCACCACGGCTGTCAGGAACAGGTCGGGCACGGGCACCACCTGCAACAAAGTTCCCCCATGTAGCTTTGGGGCATCGTGCCCGGCCATCTTTGTCTCCCCAGTGCTAAAGTTTACACACCGCACAAGGAACTCATTGAGGACTGAGTCGGCCTCGGGGAGGCACAGGACCAATACAAATCGTCGTCACCGTTGTTAGCCATGGCCGGGAATCAAACCTGGGTCGCTGGGTTCGTAAGTGCAGGGCTCTGGAGGAGCAGGGGTCTGGGGGAGCAGGGGTCTGGAGGAGCAGGGGTCTGGGTGTGCGGGGTCTGGGGGAGCAGGGGTCTGGAGGAGCAGGGGTCTGGGGGAGCTGGGGTCTGGAGGAGCAGGGGTCTGGAGGAGCAGGGGTCTGGGTGTGCGGGGTCTGGGGGAGCAGGGGTCTAGGGGAGCAGGGGTCTGGAGGAGCAGGAGTCTGGGGGAGCAGGGGTCTGGAGGAGCAGGGGTCTGGAGGAGCAGGGGTCTGGGTGTGCGGGGTCTGGGGGAGCAGGGGTCTGGGGGAGCAGGGGTCTGGGGGAGCAGGGGTCTGGAGGAGCAGGGGTCTGGGGGAGCAGGGGTCTGGAGGAGCAGGGGTCTGGGTGTGCGGGGTCTGGGGGAGCAGGGGTCTGGGGGAGCAGGGGTTTGGAGGAGCAGGGGTCTGGAGGAGCAGGGGTCTGGGGGAGCAGGGGTCTGGGGGAGCAGGGGTCTGGAGGAGCAGGGGTCTGCAGGAGCAGGAGTCTGGGTGTGCGGGGTCTGGGGGAGCAGGGGTCTGGGGGAGCAGGGGTCTGGAGGAGCAGGGGTCTGGAGGAGCAGGGGTCTGGGGGAGCAGGGGTTTGGGGGAGCAGGAGTCTGGGGGAGCAGGGGTCTGGGTGTGCGGTGTCTGACCCGTCGCTCACCCGCTGCACGCTGTACCCGTGGAGGCGCTGCCCCACCACCAGCCGCTGCGCCCGCTCGCTGGCGCCGGGCGCCAACTTCACTGCAGCGGCGGTGCCATGCGTGTCGCGCACGCTCCAGCCAAGCCAGGCACTGCACCATCGTGACACGGGACACAGGGGAGACACGGGACACAGGGGAGACACGGGACACAGGGGAGACACGGGACACGGGGGAGACACGGGACACGAGACACAGGTAGGACACGAGACACAGGGGAGACGCGAGACACAGGGGAGACACGGGACACGAGACACAGGGGACACACGAGACAGGGGAGACACGAGACAAAGGGGAGACACGGGACACAGGGGAGACACGGGACACGAGACACCGGGGAGACGCGAGACACAGGGGAGACACGAGACACAGGGGAGACACGAGACAGGGGAGACACGAGACACAGGGGAGACGCGAGACACAGGGGAGACACGGGAAACGAGACACAGGGGAGACGCGAGACACAGGTGAGACACGAGACACAGGGGAGACGCGAGACACAGGGGAGACGCGGGAGACACGGGACACAGGGGAGACACGGGACACAGGGGAGACACGGGACACAGGTAGGACACGAGACACAGGGGAGACGCGGGAGACGCGGGAGACAGTGAATGCACGCGACACGGGACACGAGACACAGGGGAGACGCGGGAGACGCGGGACACGAGACACAGGCGAGACGCGAGACACAGGGGAGGGAGACAGTGAACGCACGCGACACGAGACACAGGGGAGACACGAGACACAGGGGAGACACGAGACACAGGGGAGACACGAGACACGGGTGGGACACGAGACACGGTGGGACACGGGACACAGGGGAGACACGAGACACGGTGGGACACGAGACACGGTGGGACACGGGACACAGGGGAGACACGAGACACAGGGGAGACACGGGACACGGTGGGACACGGGACGCGAGCGCGCCCTCTGCTGTGACCCCCGCACGTCATCCGACCGGTGACACGGTACCTGCTGCTGCTGCTGCGTTGAGCAGTGGCACGCAGGCAGTCAAAACACTCACTGTCGTCAATAATAACCATGCGGCCCCAACAAGTAAATAGCTAACAGGCGACGTTTCGGACAACTGTCCTTCTACAGAGGACATAAACTGGGGGTGCAGAGACAATATACAATCTGCTCTTATGAAGGACGATTTCCCGAAACGTCGCCTATTAATCTGAGTTTGGGGCCACACACACAGACGACGCGCGGCGTCACGGCCGTGCGGGGGGGGGGGGGGGTCCTGTCGACCCGCGCCAGCTCCACCACTCCTGCGGGTTCCCTCTCGCCCCGTACCGGCGCCACGCTCCGCTTTGAGCCCGCAGGAGCCTGTAGGACATGGCGTCCTCTCCTCCTCCTCGTCACCCCTCTCCTGTTCTCCTCCTCCTCCACTCCTCCTCGTCACCTCCTCTCCTGTTCTCCTCCACTCCTCCTCGTCACCTCCTCCCCTATTCTCCTCCTCCACTGCGCGTCTCCTCCTCGCCTCTCGCCGCACCCCACGTGGCTCTCCCCCGTTACCGAGGGTCACGTGCGTGACGTCAAACGCGCGCGACCTCGCGGATGACGTCACGGCCGACGTCACGTGACCCGGTAGATGGGATGCCGCTCCGAGGCCCCGGCTGGGGTCCGTACACACTCGGGGCTGCTGCTGGACACCGGTCCCCTTTATAGCGATCCCCTTTATAGCGGTCCCCTTTATAGCGATCGCCATAGGTATCAGCGTAGCTGTAAACCCACGCGGTTTACTACCCCGTATTCTTGTACAGAGTTCTTTAGGTCCAGACGATGTACAGCCGTTTCAGTACGGGCACAAAAAAGTGTCTGTGTTTCTCCCTTGTGATGGGACTTTGTAGGGTGAACGTTGAGATTTATAAGGGCACGGGGTGACCAAAGAGGTCTCAATTGGTCTGTAATAGGATAGGGCACTGAATAGGGGTTGACAGGGATGAGATAGAGAGACTGGTCCCCTTTACACCGACCCCTCTTGCCGGGCCCGCGCGGGATGTCCGGGACCCCGACACCGGTCCCTGTAGTTGTGGGTCGGCTGGAGGGGACCGGCCCCGCCATGCCGGACACCGGCCGCCGCTCGCTGCAGGAGCGGCTCATCCGCGCCCTCACGGGCCGACGATCATTCCCCCCGGACAGCGTGGCGGTGCTGCTGCAGCAGCAGGCAAGACTCCTCCACTCTGCACTGCGCTCCACCGCACCGCGCCGCGTGTCTCGCTCTATGCCGCGTGTCTCGCTCCACGTGTAACCCGTGCGTGTGCCTCAGGGCGCGGACGTTAATGTGGGACTCGGGACCCAGCTGCCCCTGCACTGCGCCTGCATGGTGGGCAACACGGCAGGCCTGCGCCTCCTGCTCCAGAGCGGCGCGCAGGTGACCCCGCAAGCCCCGCACTCACTACCCCACACTGTCACTCACTACCCCACACTGTCACTCACTACCCCACACTGTCACTCACTACCACACACTGTCACTCACTACCACACACTGTCACTCACTACCACACACTGTCACTCACTACCACACACTGTCACTCACTACCCCACACTATCACTCACTACCCCACACTGTCAATCACTACCCCACACTGTCACTCACTACCCCACACTGCCACTCACTACCCCACACTGTCACTACCCCACACTGTCACTACCCCACACTGCCACTCACTACCACACAGTCACTCACTACCACACACAGTCACTCACTACCCCACACTGTCACTCACTACCACACACTGTCACTCACTACCCCACACTGCCACTCACTACCCCACACTGCCACTCACTACCACACTGTCACTCACTACCACTCACTACCACACACTGTCACTCACTACCACACACTGTCACTCACTACCCCACACTGTCACTCACTACCCCACACTGTCACTCACTACCACACACTGTCACTCACTACCCCACACTGTCACTCACTACCACACACTGTCACTCACTACCCCACACTGTCACTCACTACCACACAGTCACTCACTACCCCACACTACCACTCACTACCACACACTGTCACTCACTACCCCACACTGCCACTCACTACCACACACTGTCACTCACTACCCCACACTGTCACTCACTACCACACACTGTCACTCACTACCCCACACTGTCACTCACTACCCCACGCCGTCACTCACTACCACACACTATCACTCACTACCCCACACTGTCACTCACTACCCCACACTGTCACTTGCTACCACACTGTCACTCACTACCACTCACTACCACACTGTCACTCACTACCACACACTACCACACACTGTCACTACCCCACACTGCCACTCACTACCCCACATTGTCACTCACTACCCCACACTGTCACTCACTACCCCACACTGTCACTCACTACCACACACTGTCACTCACTACCCCACACTGTCACTCACTACCACACACTGTCACTCACTACCCCACACTGTCACTCAATACCACACAGTCACTCACTACCCCACACTGTCAATCACTATCCCACACTGCCACTCACTACCCCACACTACCACACACTGTCACTCACCACCCCACACTGTCACTCACTACCCCACACTGTCACTCACTACCACACACTGCCATTCACTACCACACACTGTCACTCACTACCCCACACTGTCACTCACTACCCCACACTGTCACTCACTACCCCACACTGTCACTCACTACCCCACACTGTCATTCACTACCCCACACTGTCATTCACTACCCCACACCGTCACTCACTACCCCACACCGTCACTCACTACCCCACACTGTCACTCACTACCCCACACTGTCACTCACTACCCCACACTGTCACTCACTACCACACACCGCCACTCACTACCCCACACCGCCACTCACTACCCCACACCGTCACTCACTACCCCACACTGTCACTCACTACCCCACACCGCCACTCACTACCCCGCACCGCCACTCACTACCCCACACCGTCACTCACTACCCCACACTGTTACTCACTACCACACACTGCCACTCACTACCCCACACTGTCACTCACTACCCCACACTGTCACTCACTACCCCACACTGTCACTCACTACACACTACCACACACTGCCACTCACTACCCCACACTGTCACTCACTACACACTACCACACACTGCCACTCACTACCCCACACTGCCACTCACTACCCCACACTGTCGCTCACTACCACACACTGTCACTCACTACCCCACACTGTCACTCACTACCCCACGCCGTCACTCACTACCCCACACCGTCACTCACTACCCCACACCGTCACTCACTACCCCACACTGTCACTCACTACCCCACACTGCCACTCACTACCCCACACTGTCTACCCCACACTTTCACTCACTACCCCACACTGCCACTCACTACACTACCTCACACTGTCACATTCACTACACACTGGCCAACACCATCACTCACTCTCACTACACACTGCCTCACACCGTCACTCACTCTCACTACACACAACCCAACACCGTCACTCACTCTCACTACACACTGCCTCACACCGTCACTCACTCTCACTACACACTGCCCCACACTGCCTCACACACTCTCGCTACACACTGCCTAACACCGTCAAACTCCCAGGACACACAGCCCCACACTGTCACTCACTCTCACTACATACTGCCCCACACCGTCTCACACAGCGGTGCCAGGCGCGGAACGTCCCACACCACCGTCCCACGCATCGCCGAGTGCGGTGCAAGTGCCGTCGACGTTCAATTCCCGCACCGCAGGTGGACGCGGTGGACGGCTACAAGCGCCGAGCGCTGCACTACGCGGCGGAGCGCTCCTTCACCGACTGCGTCGCCCTGCTGCTGGCGTCGGGTGCCGGGGCCTCGCTGCCCGACGGCAACGGCGACACGCCGCTGCACTGGGCGGCGTTCCGTGGCCGGGCGGGGAACGTGCGGGCGCTGCTGCGCGGGGGCGCATGCTGCCGGGCGGTTGACACGCACGGTGAGACGCCGCTGCACTGGGCGGCCAAGCGCGGCCGGAGGGCGATCACGGCCGCGCTGCTGCGGCACGGGGCCGACCCACGTGCGCGGAACCGCCACGGTGAGACGCCCATCGCGCAGCTGCTGGCCCTGATGGCGCACCGCTACCGGAACGATGACGACGGCGACGACGACGACAGCGACGATGGCGGCGACGATGACGGCGACGACGACGACGGGGAGGACGAGGGAGACGAGAGGAACGATCAGGAGGGGTGTCTGCGGCTGCTGCTCGCGGCGGCTGGTGGCTGGGTGGACCTGCCCAGGGAGGACCAAGCCAGCCAGATCCTCGGCCGGATTTCCAGGTGAGGCTCCAAGAAACCTCCAGCGGTCGCTATCGGATTTTGATATCGAATCTCGGGGCGCTGGAATCGGGTTGCGGGGTCTTGGATGCAACCTTCATCGCCGTCACAAGTTCACAAGCACAACTTCGGCCGAAGTTGTAATGTTGATCTCATATCTGGGGTGAAGCACCCAATTCCTACCTCGCTGCACCTGATAGAATCCAGAGTAAGTCAGGATGACTGATGATCCAGCACTTGCTGATTCACTCAATTCACTCGCTCATCGGCAGTCATTCGCCTTCTTATCACTCTTATCGCTACTACCATTGTTATTACGGTTTCCGTGAACTCATTGGTTCCTCCACCACAATGGAGGTCACAACACCACGCACGCACTCACTCGCACACTGCAGATCACCTCACTTCTCTTTCTGCTTATTTTCTTGCGCTGCTTCACTTTGGAATTCCCTCCCATCATCGTCTCTTTTCCCAAGCTTTTACAATAATAACCTTGCTAATTTCAAGAAACATTTTACACGCGTATCTGCTACGACTATGACAGTGCTGTTTGTTGCTGGACGCTTACCATGTTGTAGGTATACGTAGCCAACTGCTGTGCTCAGCAACTGTGTATGTGTGATCTTTTCCCTGCCGTCTAAGCGCACGGTTCTGTGCGTGCGTGTGCAGCTGCGCTCGTTTGTGGGTGCGTGTGCAGAGCCTGCGTTCGCGCGCACCGTCGCTGGCCAACCAGAGCCGCGCGGCCGTGCGGTGCGCCCTGGGCGCCCGGGATCTGCGCCCGGTAGTGGAGATGCTGCCCCTGCCCTGCGCCCTGCAACAATTCCTGCTGCTGCGGCAGTGATGCCGCGCCGCCCAGTCACCAATCCGAGGCTGCGAGTGCAGACACCGCGAGATTTATTCGGACAATTACGCGGCCACAGCGGCCGCTATTGTCTCAGGAGAAAAAAACACGTGCACAAAACTACCATGCGTGCCTTTTCGGTAAAACTGTAAGCGTGGGTTTTACCACTCGGTGCCCGCACGGAGCCGCTGGCATGAGAGCCAGACCCGGGGGCCATCCCAGGAAGAGCACCTCCGCACCGCAGACGCCAAAGGCGACACGAACCTCCAACGACGCTGAAACACAGACACGTGCGGCCGTGAGTTCGTCCAATGGGCCTTCACAGAAGCCTAAAACAGGCCTTGAACGCTGGAGGATGGGCCTTCAGTTTATTGTGTAACGGGGTGAGAACTCAAGAGGCCAGGCTGCGCCATTTGCAAGAGTGACCTGGGTCACCAAAATCATGAATGTTTCCTGCAGTACAGGGTGGTCCACATGTTTTATGAACCCCCATTTATTTCTCTAAAACGTTATATTTTTATAAGTACGGTTTATGTAAAAAAGCAAATGATTATGCAAAGGGAAAACAAATTAGGGGTCAATTAATGGGGGGTCACAAGACACCTGGACCACTCAACAACAATAAAGCAAATGAGATTAGAGCAAAAACAACCACTTCACAGAAGACATCTGAAACAGTGCACAAACATAAATCAATGTCCTGCCACGAGCTGGAAGACAGGCATCACAGACGTGATGCTAGAGGGAAACCACGCCTAGCGAGCACGGTGCCTGACGGGCGCGTTACCGTGTGCGTGGGCGACGTCCTCGCTGAGCCCTCGTCATCAGCTCCGCGGGGAGTCCCTGTGGGTGGAACGGAGCGAGTTGGACGAGGGAGGAGCTGCGATGAATGTTTCCCGAACGCAACTGCGACGGTATTCAGATTCCCGATGCAGGGGCTGCGTTGGCTGCGGCGTACAAGCACGATGCTCACCGACTTCGCCGTTGATACGGTGGCGAGGGCGTCATTACAGCAGCGCTCGCTACATCACATCCAGTATATCTCTCACTACCGCCACAGCTACCAGTTACGTGCCTACTCCGGTCTTATCGGCGAGCCGGAAAATGTTCGGTGGGAAATTAAGCCCTGACGGCGTCTAAATGCCGCCTTCCGTTATATATGCTCAAAACAAATGGTGGCAATGGTGCTGGAGATATGTGCTGAAGATAAATAAGACAATAAACCATAAAGAATATAAAGAAGTGCAGTCCCTGTGTCAATCCACTGCTGCTGCATGAGTGTTTTTGGGGTTATTTGCCCACGCATCACGCTGGTCAGGGTGAGTTGGTGAAGGCGGGGAGCACAAGTGCAGCACAACAATGGATTTTGCCGCCCTGTCCTTCGCTGCCCATGACGTAGCCCAGCAGTAGTCAATGACAACCCACCATGCATGGGGGTTGCCCATCCGAGCATTATCCAGCCACAAGTCTCTGATTAGCTCCCGAGGTCGAACAATTGGGCCGACAATCGGATTCCCCGCAGAGCAAAGTCTCGGTTGTCTTGCGCTTATAATGTGGACACGTTGCGGTGTCTGCGGAGCGGCATGAGCGACGCACGTGAAGCTGGTCTCCTGACGCGCGTGGGGCCTGCCCTGGTAGGGAGGCGGTCGGGAAGGTCGCTCACTTGGTGGGGTCCTGTGGGGGGCAAGGAGGGGTAAGGAGAGTTGGGTCGAGCGAGGTGGAGGTGGCATTGGCAGTGAGTGGGCGAAACCACTCGCACGTCATTACCCAGATCCGCGTGCGACTGTGTGACCACGTGTGTGTGTTTTTGTGCGGTTACGTGTGGCTGATTGTGCACCCACGTGTTTAATTGTGTTCCACGTGCATCATACTTCTCTCCATGTATGCCTGTGCAAGTGTGCATCTTGCCAATAACAGTCACAAATATTGGAATCAGTCCTGGGCCTCCCCTAAGTCGACTCAGCCTTAAAATTAGTACCTGGTGTGGTATGTAAACATCAACTCTCGGGTGATAAATGCGGCCGGGCATTGTTTTGGTCACCCAACCCCTCGTTTGCCGTACCGGCTTCCATAGTTGCTCACAAACAGTATTTGGCCCAACGGTCTGTTAAAGGCAATACGGGGGATCTATGTATTTGTGGCGTGTCCAAGTCTGTGCGTGCATGTGTTTGCCTGTGCGTGCATGTGTTTGCCTGTGCGTGCATGTGTTTGCCTGTGCGTGCGTGTGTTTGCCCGTGCGTGCGTGTGTTTGCCCGTGCGTGCGTGTGTTTGCCCGTGCGTGCGTTTGCCCGTGCGTGTGTTTGCCCGTGCGTGTGCCTGCTCACTGTTCGGCCCCGATGAGCCTCGTGGTGCCGGTGTCCCCGTCCGGTCCCCGGCTGGGGAGGGCACCCCCCCCACGGGGGTTAAACATGGGCAGCGTAGAGAGCGGTCGCACGTCGCGGCGCAGCGCCAAATCGCGCAGCTCTCGCACCGTCTCGCGGATCGAGCGGTGGTGCACCAGCTGCATCCTGGAGAAGCGCGGGGACAGGAATCGACGTTCAAAACCGTGCCGAGCTCGACCGCTAACCCGGCCGACGGCAGCTCCGCTCTCGGTCACCGAGCGGTGGTCGGCATCGGCCTGGGTTATCGGCGTCGTAAACGCCGAACTGCCGACGCTACACACACGGCTATGTTTATGCATTTGTTCAGAGGATGGGAGAGGGTCGGCCTCTTACTAAAGGGAGGTGTCTGTAACATCGAGTAGGCTACTTTCTTTTTGACCCTTTTAGCTGAGTCGAGGTGTCGGTGACATTTTATTTTAAAACCTAAGCAGAATCGATCACGGAAGAGGCCTGCCATCAAGGTGGATGCTGCATCTTGCCAAGTTTACCTACTGTGTCGACTCCCCGCGATGCGGCCAAACCACAGTGGGCCCTCGGCACGGCAAGGGGCGACGTGAAGGGAGGGGCGACATGAAGGGAGGGGCGACGTGAAGGGAGGGGCGACGTGAAGGGAGGGGCGACGTGAAGGGAGGGGCGACGTGAAGGGAGGGGCGACGTGAAGGGAGGGGCGACGTGAAGGGAGGGGCGACGCGTGGTGAGGGGCGACGTGAAGGGAGGGGCGACGTGAAGGGAGGGGCGACGTGAAGGGAGGGGCGACGTGAAGGGAGGGGCGACGCGTGGTGAGGGGCGACGCGTGGTGAGGGGCGACGTGAAGGGAGGGGCGACGTGAAGGGAGGGGCGACGTGAAGGGAGGGGCGACGTGAAGGGAGGGGCGACGTGAAGGGAGGGGCGACGTGAAGGGAGGGGCGACGTGAAGGGAGGGGCGACGTGCGGTGACGCTGGTTCTAAGACTTGCAGAAGAACTCACTCAGGAGTAGCTGTGTCTCTCTTCTCCCTGAAAAACAAAATGAGTATCCTGGTTATCATTGGCATGTGCTGTGGGTATCCAGTGTGTGCTGTAAGTATCGGGTGTGTGCTGCCCATATCACAAGTGCACAGTGAGGAAAACGACATGTGGCTGGGTAGTCCAGTACAGCCGAGATCTAGGGTGTGAATCCAAGTTTACTGTCGCCTGTGTTTAAGCCGGGTCCTCAAGGTTCTCTACTATTTTTGCATATGGCATGGCAAGTGTTCAGGAGCTAAACACCAACGAATGTTCTCAAGTGTAATGAGTCGATGGTCTCAGGGCAGGTGGGAAAGTGTTGCCTTTTGCCGGGTCACTCGAAGCTCTGTGGTATCCATTTCTGCGGGCCGATCCCCGACCACAAAAGGTCACGACCGCTCCGGGAGATTTCCAAATCGATCCCGAGTCTCGTCGCGTGACGCCGGGGGAGGGGGCACCACTCACAGGCCCTCGCGGCGGCAGCACATGACGTAGGTGAGGACGGCGATGAAAAGGACCGCGAGAACCAGCGGCAACGCGACGGCCAAGGCGTACGCGGCCGAGAAGTCGCGCGGCGGCAGGTCCGACGGGGGCGGCGCCCACGCCGGGCCCCATGCGTCGAGGACCGCGCTGCCTCCCGGGGCCTCGTCCCCGGCCTCCGAGGGCCCCGACGCGTTCAGCTGCGCGCGGCGAGGGGTGACACGGCGGGCACCACGTGCACTTACAGTCACTCGTCTAACCGCTCGTGCACTCACTCTACTGGTCACGCTGCCAGTCACTACTACTCGACTAGTCACTCACCTAGTCATGCTTCTTGGCACTCTAATAGTCACTCTACTAGTAACTCATCTATTTACTCAACTAGCTCTTCAACTAGTCATTCAGTCTAGTTACTCAACTACTTATTCAATAGTCACTCAACCAGTAAGTCATCTAGACCAGCGGTCCCCAACCTTTTTGGCACCAGGGACCGGTTTCGTGGAAGATAATTTTGTTCACGGACCGGGGGGGGGGGGGGGGGGGCGGGGGGTTCATCATTGGGTTTTTCCCCCTTTTCAAATAAGCTCTCTAGCGACGTTTGTTTTTTACTCATTGTGGCTACTAGGGGTTAGAGCTTGTGGGCTTACCAACACTGTGACTGAGACAAGTGCGCAGTGCGGGAAAGAGGCGCGGGCGGAAGTGGTAAATAATAAAATAATGGGGCGCGGCCCACGCGCAGACTCACCGCTCTCACCTCCTGTTGTGCGGCCCGGTTCCTAACAGGCCACGAACTGGTACCGGTCCGCGGCCTGGGGTTTGGGGACCCCTGATCTAGACGATGCTGGGTGTTAGACAGTGGCCGGCCGGCAGACCGTACTGGCCGCTGGACGTGTGCCTCCCTGCCGCCCCCTCACCAGCCGGAGCCGGCACCAGTCGCTGCGGAAGCGCGGGTAGAAGATGCTGTGAGTGGGCGGCGCGGGCGCATGGCGCTGGTCGCACGAGGAGGCGGCCCGGCGCACGGCGTCGAGCAGGCGCGGGGACGCGGCGTCCGCGCCCACCTGGACGTACACGCTGCGTGGACAAAGGCCCCGTCGGAGCGAGCGCTGTTAGCGAGGAGCAGCACCTACGAAGGCCGGTACGGCACACGAGGGGGTGGGTGGCCAGCACCACGCCCGGCCGCCTTTGTAGTGATGTTTACATACCACACTCAGACCTGTTCAATTATTCAGCACAGATGTTTAGAGTGTTTGGCTGCTATAAATTTCCACATGATAATTCACTTTGCTGAGCTTTCATTTGTGGCCAAGTCGCTTCTGAAAAAGAGCTATGTACCTCAGTGGGCCTTACCTGCTAAAATAATACTTTATAAAAAATATTGTTTAAGTTTGGCAGCGAGCTGGAATCTAATTCAGGTGGCCAGGTTCATAGTGCGGTGCGCTAACCGCCAGTCCACCGCTCCCCGCCACTCTACGTGTACACAATCTCAATGGGCACGCACCCCTCCTTGAGGCCCCGGATGGGGAGGGGCACGCGGCCCCCCCTCTCCAGTGCCGACGTGACGTTGACGAGGCGGAAGGCTTGGGGGGGTGGCTGGGTCCCCCAGGCAGTGCGGGCCAGCTCCTCGAAGCTGGCCCTCACGTCCGGGCGCAGCAGCTCGTCCACGTCCACGTTGGAGAGGAACAGCTCGAAGCGGAACGGCACATCTGCAACACCCGTGCACACAAAGACAAAGATCCTCCATGTAGCCTCTTACGGGCTGTTGGCGAAAGCGCCGTTCGCAAGTGGCGCCGGTCTTGGTGGTGATGATGATAGTGGTGATGACGATGATGGTGGTGACAATGGTGATGTGATGGTGGTGACAATGGTGATGTGATGGTGGTGATGATGACAGTGGTGATGATGATGGTGGTAGTTATGATGATGATGATGATCATGTTGGTGGTGATGGTGGTGAAGGTGGTACCGTTGTCTGGCACTGCATGGATGTGGAGTATGAGTCGTTGCTTCACCACTTGGAACGTGCGGCGGTTACAGACAACCACCTGCAACCACACACAACCGGATTACACAGACACACACAATTTATCATGTGTGTGTGGCTGGGAGCGGTAGTGTAGCAGTTAGCGTGCTGCGCTACGAACCCGGAGACCTGAGTTCGATTCCCACTCATGGCCAATACCAGCAATAATTTTCTAAACCGGCTTGGTGCCTCCCCTAGGTCAGCTCAGCCTCAACTAAGTATCTGGTACGGTGTGTAAACATCTCCACGAAGGAGACAAAGGCGGCCGGGCGTGGTACTGGCAACCCACCTCCGCGTGTGCCATGCCAGCTTTCACACGTAGGTGCTCGCTAACGGCCCCATATGGCCGTTAAGGCCATATGGGGCATCTTTGTCTTTGTGTGTCGGGGCACAGCTGTACCTGGATCACGCTCTTGCCTTCGTGCCGTGCGCTGGCTGTGCCGTACAGGAGCCCGTTCTCGTACGGTGACCTCTGCAAGTAGCGCAGCCAGCCGGGCAGGTCGGGGTGACCCTCCAAGTTCAAGTTAAAGGTCATGGGGTCATCTGGACAGGCAGCACAAGCGCACGCATTCACAGCATCGGCATGCATGCGGTGTATCCAGCGCCAACTCACGGATCGGCTATTTCTATTGCGCATATAAATACAAAGATCCCCTGTATAGCTTTTAACAGACTGTTGGGGCAAGTGCTGTTAGCGAGCACCTATGTAGGCTGAAACAGGACACGAGGGGGTTGGTGGCCAGCACCACGTCCGGCCCAATTTGTCTCCCTAGTGGGGATCTTTACACACCGCACCAGGTACTCATTTGAGGCTGAGTCAACCTCGGAGAGGCCCAGGACCGGTTCAGAAAATCGTCACTGGTGTTGGCCGTAAGCGAGAATCAAACTCGGGTCGCCGGGATCGTAGTGCAGCGCACTAACCACTCCACTACCGTGTACACGTGTATACAAAGACAAAGATCCCTCATATAGCCTTAACAGACTCTTGGGGAAAGTGGTGTTAGCAAGCAATGGTTAGCGCGCTGGTCTACAAAGCCATCGACCTGAGTAACAATTCCCGCTCACGGCCAACAACAGTGACAATTCTTCTTTGGTTCTTTCGGTAAAGTCACGTAGAATTATAATAAAATAATAAATTGATAAAATAAAATAACACAATAATATTCTCACGACGTTTCGGCCACAACACAAGCGGCCTTCATCAGGTGAAGGGGGCGAGACTGTCTGGTAGGACAGCGCTGGAGTGAAAGAGCCACGTTCAGATATGGCCTTTAAGCTGTGTGAGAGGAACAAAGCGCCTTGACAAAGGAATTAGCATATAATTTAGCATTGAAATGGCTGAATGATTAGCTTGTGACTGGTCACAGAAATAGCTATGTTAAAAGTTAAAGCATACACACCCGCAGAGGCACCCATTGTTAAAGGGATTAGCATAGAATTTAGCATTGAAATAGCTAAGTTAAGGCATACACATCTTGACAATGGAATTAGCATAGAATTTAGCATTGAGATAGGAGAGTGATTAGATTGTACCTGCTGCAGAAATAGAGCTTGTACCTGCCTCAAATTTCAGCACCACGGATAGCTTAGAGTCGCGGCATCTCTTCAGAAAAGTGAGAGACTCGATTAGTTGAGCCTTCTTATCCCGAAGTCTGTTGAATGATCTTAAGGATGTGTGGAATCCCTCCCCGTAGAGGCGGTTAAATTTCGATTTAAAGCTTTCGTAACAACGCGCCTTGACAAAGGAATTAGCATATAATTTAGCATTGAAATGGCTGAATGATTAGCTTGTGACTGGTCACAGAAATAGCTATGCTAAATTCTATGCTAATTCCATTGTCAAGATGTGTATGCCTTAACTTAGCTATTTCAATGCTAAATTCTATGCTAATCCCTTTAACAATGGGTGCCTCTGCGGGTGTGTATTCTTTAACTTTTAACATAGCTATTTCTGTGACCAGTCACAAGCTAATCATTCAGCCATTTCAATGCTAAATTATATGCTAATTCCTTTGTCAAGGCGCGTTGTTCCTCTCACACAGCTTAAAGGCCGTATCTGAACGTGGCTCTTTCACTCCAGCGCTGTCCTACCAGACAGTCTCGCCCCCTTCACCTGATGAAGGCCGCTTGTGTTGTGGCCGAAACGTCGTGAGAATATTATTGTGTTATTTTATTTTATCAATTTATTATTTTATTATCATTCTACATGACTTTACCGAAAGAACCAAAGAAGATGAATCATTGCAGTCACGAAAGCTTTAAATCGAAATTTAACAGTGACAATTATCTGAATCGGTTCTGGGCCTCCCCTAGGTCGATTCGGGCTCAAATGAGTAGGTGGTGCAATATGTAAACATGGCCACTGGGAAGACAAAAGTGGCCAGGTATGGTCTTGACCACCCACCCCCTCCTCGTGTGCCGTGCCGGCCTTCATAGGCGCGTGTATACACACGCACACACGCACACACACGCACGCACCCACAAACGCACACACGCGCACACACACACACAAACGCACTCTCACCTCGGCGTCCCTGGAAGAACTCGGCGAAGTACTCGCGGTTGAGGAAGTGCACAAAGAGGGTGTCCGGTGACAGGTAGACGTTCTGGTCGCCCGCGGCTCCGCTCGGCAGGCTGCAAGCCACCAGAACTGCCGCAGGGCAAGAACCCGCGCACGAGTGCTCGTTAACGCGTGCCAGTTAAGGTTTGAAATTGTTAATGCAACAGCTGTGCCGCCCGTCTGTCCGCACGTCCGTAACGCGTGGGCATGCAAACTCTCATAAAGTTGATCCAACGTGAGCAGAATGTTTGTGCGGAATAGTCTCGCCACCAGGGACTCGCCCTGGAGAAAACTCGCAACGTTGATGGAAACGTTAGAGTCCAAAACCTGGCACATTCCCAGATTTGATGGCGACTGCGCTGCTACCGGCATCACGAGACAAATAATCCCTCTGCATCTCTCCCAGTGACCAGCGCCGCAGAAGCGGATACCACAGAGCCCCATCCAAAATCTCAACTGACATCTGCTTCACACACAAGAGGGGCAGCACTTTCCCATCTGCCCCTGCCACTGAGAGTAATGTTCGTCCTGCGACAATCAAATAATTATTTTTAATCCTGCAGTCATTGGTGACCAGGCTGGGACCTGCAACTCTCACTGCACTCGAGAATCTGGCTTTTTCTCGCTTTGAATTGCGGTTTCTGAGCAAAGGCCCAACAAGCCAATCAACAGCACTATTGAAGGTGCAATAGCTAAGAGTGTAACAATTGAGCAAGGTTCTTGTAATAGCTTGGGAGAAAGAGACGATGATGGCAGGAGGGAATTCCAGAGTGGAGAAATGCGACGGAAGAAACAGAAAGAGAAGTGGAGTGACCTGCAGTGTGGTGAGTGGGTGGTCGAGTGGGTGGGTGAGTGAGTGGGTGGGTGAGTGAGTGAGTGGGTTTGTTGTTGTGACCTGCAGTGTGGTGGGTGAGTGGGTGGGTGAGTGGCTGGGTGGGTGAGTGGGTGAGTGAGTGGGTGGGTGAGTGGGTGGGATGGTGGGTGGGTGAGTGGGTGGGTGAGTGGGTGGGTGAATGGGTGGGTGAGTGGGTGAGTGGGTGGGTGTGTATTGTTCTGAACTGCAGTGGGGTGAGTGGGTGCGTGAGTGGGTGAGTGAGGGTGTATTGTTGTGACCTGCAGTGTGATGGTAGTTGAGCACTGTGTTGGGTGAGTGGGTGGGTGGGTGAGTGGGTGGGTGGGTGAGTGAGTGTGTTGTTCTGAACTGCAGTGGGGTGAGTGGGTGAGTGAGGGTGTGTTGTTGTGACCTGCAGTGTGATAGTGGTTGAGCACTGTGGTGGTTCAGCACTGTGGTGGGTGAGACAAAACAACAAGCGTGAGTGGAGAAATCAATTAATTAATCACGGGCGGCTGACGCCGCATTCCCAACAGGAGATCCCAGTGGCGCCATCCCGGCGACTCTACCTCCGTGCCACCCGCACGTGCCACCCACACGTGCCACCCACACGTGCCACCCGCAGGTGGCACAATTCACTGGCACTCACCTGTGGCCAGCGCGGCGAGGAGGGGAAACCCGGCCATGGTGCAAACTCGCGGCCGCAGGCCCGGAGTTCCGCTCGGCAGTGGAGGCCGTGAGGCAGAGTTGGGGGGCCCAAGGCTGGGGGGGGTCAAGGCAGCAGCTGCTGCTGTCGCAAATAGAAGCCGACGCACGCACGCACGCGCGCACGCGCGCACACGGAGGCTATTCTGGGAGTGTGGCGCGACCCGCGGAGCAGCAACACTCGCAGCGAGCGGCAGAGCGTACAAGCCCAGACGTGTGGCACGACACAAACGGGCCACAACACATGGCACAGCACAACACGGCCACAACACGCGGCACAGCAGTCACACAGCACAACACGGCCACAACACACGGCACAGCAGTCACACACACAGCGCGGCACTTGTGTCACTCCACATACCGTGCAGGTCGTGGAGGTCATTTGACCGTACTTCACCACGCTGGTCAATGCAATTGTTCAATATGGGGGGGCCTACGGCACCTGTTTTACGCATGGCAGTGGCCGTCCATCCGAGCACCGGCCAGGCTGAGCCCTGCCTGGCCTCTCCCCGAGCTCTAGCGATGGTGGGGTTGGCCGTTTTGTCTCTCACACCTTGTGCGTGCGCATGGGTGTGTGTGTGTAGATTGTTGCGTGCGCTTCTGTGTGTTGGAGTGGCAGTGTAGCGTTAGCGCGCTGTGCTATGGGTGTCCGCCAGTGTGGCGGACACCTGACAGCAAACCCTGACCCCCAGGGTTAGTGTGGGGGACCCGGGGGGGTCATATTATTGGACCTCTGTGTAAAAGAACTTCATAGCTCAGGATAAATAAAGATTCTGATTATGATATTACTGTCGTACAATTCCTGCACCGGGGTTCATAGAATATAAATAGTGATCCCACCGAGGTCAAATGCTCGCTTGTCCTGCTCGCACCACCCCGTCACCACGGCTGGCAGCACCGTGCGAGATGCCTGCGGTCTGCGTGAGTGCCGTGCGTGTCTGGGCACGCACGCACGGCCTTCGTAAGAATTACTCGATAACGGAACTTGCCCCAACAGCATGTAAAGGCTATACGGGGATCTCTGTCGTTGTGTGCCGAGGAGAGTGGCGGTTACTCCTCCTCCTCCTCATCTCCTCGTCCTCCTGCGGGAACCTGAGCGGCACGGGTGGTGGAGCGGCACGAGAGGTGGCGCTGAGGTCTGTCCCCTGTGCGGAACGTCGGAACATCCCCGCGGGATAGGAACTCGGTGGTGAAGAGGAGCAGAAGGAGGGCGCGGTGCGTGGTATGCGTGTGTGCGTGTCTTTGTGCGTGCGCATGGGTGTGTGTGTGTAGATTGTTGCGTACGCTTCTGTGTGTTGGAGCGGCAGTGTAGCGTTAGCGTGCTGTGCTATGAACCTAGTTAACCAGGTTCGATTCCCGCTCACGGCCAACACCAGTGATTATCTGAACTGGTCCTGGGCCTCCCCTAGGTCGACTCAGCCTCAAATGAGTACCTGGTGCGATGTGCAAACATCCCCACTGGGGAGACAAAGGCGGGCGAGCATTGTGCTGGCCACCCACCCCCTCGTGTGCCGTTCCAGCCTTCATAGGTGCTGCTCCCAAACAGCATTTGCCCCAACGGTCTATTAAGGCTATCCGGGGTTTGGGGTGTGTGTGTGTATATGTAGATTGGGGTGTGTGTAGATTTGGGTGTGTGTATATGTAAATTGCGGTGTGTGTGTATATTGGGGTGTGTGAGTGTATGTAGATTGGGGTGTGTGTGTGTGTGTATTGGGGTGTGTGCGTGTATGTAGATTGGGGTCTGTGTAGATTGGGGTGTGTGTGTGTAGATTGGTATGTGTATGCAAATTGGAGTTTGTGTGTGTGTATATGTAGATTGGGGTGTGTGTGTGTATTGAGGTGTATGTATGTAGATTGGGGTGTGTTTATGTAGATTGGGGTCTATGTAGATTGGGGTGTGTGTGTATAGATTGGGGTGTGTGTGTATGTAGATTGGGGTGTGTTTGTATGTAGATTGGGGTGTGTTTATGTAGATTGGGGTGTGTGTGTGTAGATTGGGGTGTGTTTATGTAGATTGGGGTGTGTGTGTAGATTAGGGTGTGTGTGTAGATTAGGGTGTGTGTGTAGACTGGGGTGTGTGTGTGTATGCAGATTGGGGTGTGCACGTGTGTGTGTGTGGACGTCTCTGCACGTGCGTGTGCACGCGTGCCGGGGCTCGTTCGTGTGAGGTTGAGGACACAGCCCACTCTACTCCCCACCGGGGGAACCAGGTAGAGCCCCTCCCACCTGACCCCAGGTATGCCACCCCCCTCCCTACCTGACCGCACATCCCACCGCCCACATCCGCCCATCCGCCACCCCCCCGCCCGCCGCCCTGTCTGTGAGACTCACGACGCTGGACGAGAGCAACGGTGGTGTCCGTGGTGAGTCCGGTCGTGTCTCCTCTCCCCGCACGGAGCGCACCAGAGGCCGGGAGCCACCACGCGGGGTGGAGACGCCGCACCGACACCCGGCGAGCAGCGGTGAGACACGCAGCCAGTGTACTCGCTAACGAGCACGGGTACTCGCTCATTATTATGGGTACTCGGTAACACGGACACTCGCACAGATACTGGCTCACACAGGTAGTCACCCCCATGGGTATTTATATACGTAGGACACTCACTCACACAGCTAGTCACGCACTCACAGATAATCACACGAAAAAATACCCCGTATAGCCTTGAGCAGACTGTTGGGTGGCCAGCACCACGCACGTCCGCCTTTGTCTCCCATTTGGCGATGTTTACACACCGTACTGGGTACACATTTGAGGCCGAGTCGACCTACGGGAGGCCCAGGACCGGTTCAGATAATCGTCACTGGTGTCAACCGTCAGCGGGAATCGAACTCCAGTCGCCTGGTTTGTAGCACAGCACGTTAACCGTTACACCACCGCTCTGACACACACACACAGACACACACTCTACATACACTAAAATGTCAAGCAGAACGCCTTGATTTAGTTCTTGGGAGCTAAGCAGGTTGGAGCCTGGATAGTGCTTGGACGGGTGACCTCAATGCATTATCTGGTGTTATGGGCAGCTACGGAGCTATGCTGTGGGCAGTGTAGAAAAAATAAAATGCTGTACTGTACTTCTATGCTCCCTGGTTTCATCAAGACCAGCGTGGTGAAGTATGGCCAAACATTCTTTAGAGTGTAGGGAGGCCCTCATGCAGCAGTGGATTGCCACCAGAGGATGAACATGAACGTACACAGCGCACACACCCACGATCGCGTGAGTCAAGGGAAATTTAAACACGGAAGCTATTTCCTGTGGACAAAGTCCTCCCTTAAACTGCATTCGTGAACCGTCGCACCCAGCGCCGTCGCACCCAGCACCCAGCGCCGTCGCACCCACCGCCGTCGCACCCAGCACCCAGCGCCATCGCACCCAGCACCGTCGCACCCAGCACTATTATCCAGCACCATCGCACCCAGCGCCGTCGCACCCAGCACTATTATCCAGCACCATCGCACCCAGCGCCGTCGCACCCAGCACCATTATCCAGCACCATTATCCAGCACCATCGCACCCAGCGCCGTCAGACCCAGCACTAATATCCAGCACCATCGCACCCCACCGCCGTCACACCCAGCACCATTATCCACCGCCGTCGCACCCAGCGCCGTCACACCCAGCACCATTATCCAGCGCCGTCACACCCAGCACCATCACACCCAGCGCCGTCGCACCCAGCACCCAGCACCGTCGCACCCAGCGCCGTCGCACCCAGCACTATTATCCAGTACCGTCGCACCCAGCGTCGTCGCACCCAGCACTATTATCCAGCACCGTCGCACCCAGCACCATCGCACCCAGCACCATTATCCAGCGCCGTCGCACCCAGCACCGTCGCACCCAGCACCATCGCACCCAGCGCCGTCGCACCCAGCACTATAATCCAGCGCCGTTGCACCCAGCACCATTATCCAGCGCCGCGGCACCCAGCGCCGTCACACCCAGCACTATTACCCAGCACCATCACACCCAGCGCCATCACACCCAGCGCCATCACACCCAGCGCCGTCGCACCCAACGCCATCACACCCAGCACTATTACCCAGCACCATCACACCCAGCGCCGTCACACTCATGCATGACGTGTCTCTCATGCCTAGGAGTTGGAGGTTGCTGTCACGTGACGCTGGTGACCCCTGCTGAACCCTGAGTACCGCCCTCTGGTAGCGCTGGCAGCGATGTTGCGTGCAGATGCGGTGCTGTCCGCTGGTGCTGCCGACGTTCCGCTGCTGTCGCCCTCCATCACCGTCGACAGAATCCGCAGGATCTTCACTCCCCCGGCTCCCATGAGGCTTTACAACCTTGGCGCCATGCAGCAGCAGGAGCAGCAAGAGCAGCAGGAGCAGCAGGAACGCGACGGCGCCCAGCCAGCGTCCGTCACGCCCGTACATTCCGAGAGGTTCGCCGAGATGCGGCTGAAGTTTGAGTGTGGCGCAGGGAGGGGAGCAACGACTTTCGCACCGCCGCATTGCGGCTCATCGCATTCTTGCGCCGGCACCCCCGCCTCCTCGCCGTCGCCTCCGGCGTCGTCGTCGCCGCCGCCGTCGCTGACGACGTTGGCGATAAAGGTCGGGTGCCAGGCCCTCGCCACGGCAGGCCAGGACGTCGTTCCCGGCGCGGACTCCTTGGGCGCCGGCCGCGACGCGGCCCACAGGAGGGACGACGCCGGGGTACGCGCGGTCGCCGCCCGCTACCCCGTCGACCCCGCGCCACGCACGCTCCCGCGGAGACGCGGGGGGCCGAGCGATGGAGGAGCGCAGCGGCGAGCGACCTCGATCCCGCACGCCCACGGTGTCGTCTCGGCAAGCGGCGCCAGTGACCCCCGAACTGCCCCGATCGCCGCTCGCAGACTCCCTCCCAGGTCTCGCCTCAACTCGGGCCCCATCTCCAAGCGCCTGTCCAGCTTCATGCAGGACGACAGCTCTTCCGACGGCGGCAGCAACGACGACGACGGTGATGCCGATGAGGCCCAGGGCGGCCGAGCGGACGAGCCCGCACGAGATCCCGCGACCGCCGCCGGGCACCGTGACGACGCTGTGACAGGACCGCCCGGCGCCGGCGGCCGAGGACGCCCGCGTTCGACTGGCGCAGAGGAGAGCCAGGTTCTGGGAAACTCCTCCTCTTCGACGGTGATGTCGTCTCCCGACGGTTCTCCGGTCTCCAAACTGGGATCCATCGCGGAATGCGACTTGGGTGCCAGCGACTGTGTCGGCTCCCCCGTGTTCACGGAGCACGGGGAGCGGTCGCCCTTGCACCACCGGCACGACCTGGGGGGGGAGGAGAGGGCAGCAACCGTGGAGGACAGGGCAGCACCCGGGGCATCTGCCGACCACGGCCAACGCCGCACCAAAGAGGGCGTCCCGGTCGGCATGGAGGCGAGAGGTTCGAGGGAGCGTGAGGGCAGAGAGGCAGCGCTGCCTTGGCCACACGCGAGGACAGAGGCTCGAGGCGCGACCCCTACGATGGCCGGCGACCTCTGTCATGAAACGCCGTTACACACGGCAACGGGGGCAACGCTGGGAGAGCCGCCTGTGACCTCGACCACGACCCCTGCCAAGGCTGTGACTTTGGCCGCGACCCCCGCAATGACCCCAGCAGTGACCGTGACCCCGACGCTGACCAAGACCACGAGTTTAATTGCGACCTCAGCCCTGAACACAAATTTGACCCCGTCTGCAGCTCCAGCCAAGAACACAAACTTGACCCCGTCTGCAGCTCCAGCCAAGATGGTCCCCCTGCTCACGACCCCAGTGATGACCAAAAGTGTGACCGTAACCCCAATTATGACCTTGACCATGAATTCTGCCATTACTGCCACCACAAATATAACTTCGACCTCAACCTTAACCGTAGGCGACGTGACCCAAAGCACGACCGTGACCCCAGCGGGCCCAGCCCAAGCAAGCCCTGTCAGCCAGGCCGTGTCCACCGAGCACAACGACCGGTACCGTGGCAACGGAGAAGCAGGCAGAGACGATGGTTGCCCCAGAGATGCAACCGAGGAAACCGGGGTTGATGATGCTGGGGAGGAGGAGGAGCCAAGGTTTGGGGGTCCCAGTGGGACCCAGTGCCTGGAGATCCCCGGCCTTGGTGAAGAGCCAGGCGAAGCCTTGCTGCCAGGCCGCAGGGTGCACTTCAGCCACGAGCCAATCAAGGTTAAGTATGGGGCAGGGAGGGAAAGAGGGTGGCATCACCACGACACGACAAAGCCTATGCATCCTGCACCAGGCCGAACCACACTACGAAACAAAGATCCCCCTATAGCCTTAGCAGACTGTTGTGGAAAGTGCTGTTGGCGGGTACCTATGAAGGCCAGCACAGCACATGAAGAAATGTGTGGCGAGCCCGGCCGCCTTTGTCTCCCACGTGGTGATCTTTACACAATGCACCAGGTACTCATTTGAGGCCGAGTCGACCTAGGGGAGGCCCATGAGCGGTTCAGATATCCGTCACCAATGTTTTCGGTGAGCGAGAATCAAACTCGGGTCGCAATGTTCGTGGCACTGCGTTCTAACCGTCGCGCCGCCGCTCCCCACGGCACGCGTGCAGGTGTTCGCAACGTTCTCCACCGAGCGGTACGAGCGCAGGAACACGGACGTGGACCCCGTGCGCGCGTCAGCCGAGATGGAGCTGGAAACGCGAATGGAGGCGTTGGACGTGCAGCAGATCGTGCTGCAGAAGGGTGAGGCCATGCTGTGTTCGCTCGCCACACCACTTGGGGCTGCCACCTCTTGAGGCACAAATAAAACCAGGACAAGTGACAGATTTCCCACGATAGCCAACATGGACAACCCAGGGGAAACCAGGAGGGGTGGCAACCGCCCCTCGCCACAGCAACACTTGCACCGCTCCCGGTCACCAACGCCGCTCATCCACCCCTTAGATTACTCGAGTAATCGCATTACTCGAGTAATTACTTGGGTAATCTCGTAACAAATTACCCGAGTGATCGGATTACTTGGTAACGGATTACTTTAGTACTCGGATGCGTCCCGGCTCTCACCCAGGACTGCTGCGTCCCGGCCCTGTCCGCGTGTGCAGGGCCCGAGGGCTTGGGCATCGCCATCGTGGGCATCGGGGCGGCCGCAGGGCCGGGGCCCAGGGCGGGGGCCAAGCAGCTGGGCGGCATCTACGTGCGCGCCCTTTCCCCGGGGGGAGCGGCCCACGCGCACGGAGGGTGAGGAGGGTGAGAAGGTGTGGTGAGCGACCCGGGGCAGCTCGCTGTGGGCTAGAGGATGGAGTTGGACATTGAAATGAGGTGACAGGGTGAAGGCCAAAGGTCGTCATAGGCAGTCAAGCATGTGGGAGATTTTGTGGAGTGTGACCAATACCCCAGGTGTCCCCATGTCCCTGTGTCCCCGTGTCTCCATGTCCCGTGTCTCCGTGTCTTCATGTCTCCATGTCCCCGTGTCCCCGTGACCTTGTGTAGGATCTGCGAGATGGATCAGATCTTAGCGGTTGACAGCACGAGTCTCCTGGGGGCTTCGCAGGAAGTCGCCGCCCGCGTCCTCCAAAGCACCGGGGAGACGGTGAGGTGAGGCGGGAGCTCACTCGACACCCACACTCCCATCGCGACACTCACCCCCGCTCCCTGCAGGGAGACACGGCGAAAGGGACGAGAGCAGATGGGCGACTTAGCAGATGAGAGGGCTGTGTGCTGCGTGCTCCGTTAGTGGTGTGGACGTGACCGAGCCCGTCTGTGGAATGCGCCACGCGATTCCCGCAGCCACGGTTTTGCCGTTGGACCAGTTGAGCTTCCTCCTCCACCACCACGCCGCCGGCACAGCCACACACCGACAACCACACCACCGCTCAAACACACACACCATCAACCACACCCTCACCAGCAACCACACCACCGCTCACACACACACACCATCAACCATACAGTCATCAGCTAGCACACCACCGTTCACACCCGCTGCTTGGGCATGTTCCACTGGAGGAGTCTACGTTTTGCAAGCATAGACAAGGGAGGGCACATACATGTGGTCGAGAAGACCCAGAGCTTCGTGTGGAGCGACAGACCAGGTAGTTCCTAAACAGCATGACGCAACTGACGGAAAAGTAAAATGCCGCTCGACTGATTCGGAGTGAGATCTCTGCTACCAAACCGGTGCTGGTCATAAGCACACTGCCAAGGTGTGGGAACGGCTCCATTCTGTTCAAGACGTCCCAACTTACTCACACGCGCACACCATCACCTACATCGTCACACGAACACTGGGGTCAGGGATTGACACAAGCCCCGCCCTTTGCCGGAGCTGGCCAATCAGGCTCTGGGCTCTTCCGTGCACACTGTGACATGTACACCACTTTTTTTTCTTGGTTCTTTCGGTAAACTCACGTAGAATGGAAATAAAATAATAATAATAAAACATAATAAAATAAAATTCTCACGACGTATTATGTTTTATTTTGTTATTATTTTATTTCCATTCTACGTGGTGACTTTACAGAAAGAACCAAGAAGATGAATCCCTGCAGTCACGAAAGCTTTAAATCGAAATGTACACCACTGTGTGTTGTGTGCAGGCTTGTGATTGGGCGAGAGAAGGGAGCACATGTCGTGGGTTCAGAGGGCAACTTGGATCTTTCTGTGAAGTACAAAGAGGTCAGGTCACCCCACCACCCACTCACTCGACACTCACCCTTACCACCCAGCCAAAATCGATGGCGACTTATGTGTTGACGATGATTTATGTGTGTATGTTGAATTTCTTTTGTACCGTTCGGAGCCAACCGTGCTAATTGGAGGTGCGGGTGAGAGTGATGTTCTGACGATGCACGTGATGGCAATGATGACGAGCTTGCTGCAGAGATGATGACGATGGTGTAACTCTGATGTTCTGACGATGATGTTACTGCCGTCCATGCACAGCTGCTGATCAGGTTTGCTGCCATCACTAACGAGGTGAAGGCGCTCAAGAAAGAGGTGAGTGCCAAAATATAACCCGTGCAGCGCTGGGCAACCTGAGGGCCCGTTGGACGTCGATGCCCAGCGCGACGTGGAGGGCGGCCGTGTAGCAGCCCACGGTCGCCAACGTTCCCACGCACTCGTGTACGCGTGTGTGTGGGGGTGTGTGTGTGGGGGTGTGTCTGTGGGTGTGTGTGTGTGTGAGTGTGGGGGTGAGTGTCTGTGGGGGTCACGGTCATTCCCTCCCTTCTCTACGCTTGCGAAACGTGGACCCCCCTAATGGAACATCTTCGCCGGTCGGAAACATTTAGGCTGGCCTGCCTACGATCCATCCTGGGTTTAACCAGACTGGATTGTGTGAGGAGCTCACAAATCCTTGAAAGATCTGGGCAAGGTCCCATCGGTGAGCTCCTCTGGCAGGCAAGGCTGCGATGGCTGGGTCATGTAGCCCGTATGCCCAGCCACCGCATGCTGAAACAGCTTTTGTTCGGCCGGATCGAGGGGGCTAAACGGGCGTGGCACGGGCTAGAGATGAGATGGAGTGACGTGGTACAGGAGGACGTGGAGCTGAGTGGACTTGCCGATGACTGGTACCAGCGGTGTCAAGATCGGCCTCTGTGGAGGAGGCTCGTGAAGGACGCTACTGGGCAGTTGGAGGCAGTCGCCCTCCAAAAACAATGGAGGGCGGAGGAGCGACGCTCACAACAACGAGCGGAGCGCCGGGTGGTTAAAGCACAGCAGGTTGGCACAGTAGGGGGCACAAGTGGTGCATCAGCCAGTCATCTCAGTCATCTCAGTCAGTCGACCCTTGGCACCTGGTTCTGCCCCGTGACCTCCTGCCAGCGGGCGTTCAACACTCCACGTGGCCTCAATGTGCACATGGCCTGGCACAAGCGTCATGGTGACGTCACCGTCACTTAGTGGCGAATGGCAGTTGTTGTTGTTGTCTGTGGGGGGGTGTCTGTGGGGGTGTGTCTGTGGGGGTGTGTGTGTGTGGGGGTGTGTCTGTGGGGATGTGTGTGTGTGGGGGTGTGTGTATGTGGGGATGTGTGTGTGTGCGGGTGTGTGTATGTGGGGATGTGTGTGTGTGCGTGTGTGTAGGGGTGTGTGTGTGTGGGAGTGTGTCTGTGGGGATGTGTGTATGTGGCGGTGTGTGTCTGTGGGGATGTGTGTGTGTGGGGGTGTATGTCTGTGGGGATGTGTGTGTGTGTGTGCGTGTGTGTGGGGGTGTGTGTGTGGGAGTGTGAGTGGGTCTGCCCCATTACCTCCTGTCAGCGAGCCTTCGACACTTCATGTAGTTTCAAAGTGCACCTGGCCTGGCACAGGCGCCATGGTGTTGTCAGCGCCACTCGGTGGCGGATGGCGGCTGTTGTTGTGTGGGTATGTGTGTGTGTGTAGGGAGCGGCAAGGTAGTGGTTAGCGCATAGCGCTACGAACCCAGCGACTCAAGTTTGATTCCCGCTCACACGGCCAACAATGGTGATGAATATCTGAACCAGTCCCATGCCTCTCTTAGGTCAACTCAGTCTCAAATGAGTACCTGGTACAATGTGGAAAGCATTGGCATTGGGGAGGCCTTTATAGGTGCTCTCTAACAGCACTTGCCCCAACAGCCTATTAAGAGTATACGGGAGATCTTTGTCTTTGTACATGTGCGCAGGCAGCGGCGGTGTAGCGATCAGCGTGCGAAGCGGCCGTGGTCGAGGCCGTGGTTGTTTGAACGTCCAGGTTGTGCGTCTCTTCGCCCGTGCCAGATGTGCGAGGTGGAGGCGGCGCAGGCCAAGGGCGAGCGCCAGCGGTACCTGCTGCAGACGAAGCTGAAGGAGGAGCGGCGCCGGGGAGAGGTGATGGAGACCGTCATGGCCACAAAGGCGGAGGAGGCAGAGAGGCGCCACCAGGAGCTGCTGCGGCGCTACCGGCGCGCTGTGGCGCTGCTCGCGCCGGCGCTGATCAGGCAAGTTCGTTCTGTCTGGAGATGATCTGAAAATCCGAAACGTTTGAATCCAAAACTCATCCCTCATGCACGCACGGCCGATTAGACTTGGGTGGCGCTGCTCTCTCTCCCCGGACGATCTCTCTCCAAACGGAGACCGCGATGTCGATGTGCTGCAGGGAGCACGGCCTCACTGCCGGCAGTCACAGTGAAGATGGCGGCGATGGTGAGCGTGGCGGCAATGGTGAGGATGGCGGCGGCGGTGGTGAGCGTGGCGGTGATGGTGAAGATGGCGGTGATGGTGGAGATGGCGGTGATGGTGGAGATGGCGGTGATGGTGCGAATGGCACTGACGCCCACCAGGTAGCAACTCCGTCGTCAGCAATCCAACCACACGCCTGTACACACAGATGCCTTTCTGTGGCCATCTGGAACGCTCTTCCTTCCGATATTAGGAAGTGAATGGAGCGATGCACTTTTAAATTTAGTTTGAAAACCAATTTCTTTAGAACTGATTTTTGTGTTTAGTTTGTTGTCCTTCCCCCGCACCTCCGATTAGCACGGCTGGCTATGTACAGTGCGAAAAAGAAGTTCAACACACATACATGCACACAACCGCACACACACACAAAGACCCCCCTATAGTGTTAAGACTATTGAGGCGAGCGCTTTAGCGAACACCTTTGAAGGCTGCAACGGCGCATGAGGAGGCGGATGACCAGCGCCGTGCCCAGCCGCCTTTGTCTCCGCAGTGCTGATGTTTGTACACCAAATAAGATCATCATTTAAGATTGAGTCGACCTAGGGGAGGCCCAGGACGAGTTCAGATATTTCGTCACTGATGTTGACCATGAGCAGCAATCGAATTCATCGTGCGGTACACTAACCTCTGTGCCACCACTCCCCACATGCTAGAGTGAGTGGCGGGAGAATGAATGGATGTGCAGATGAGAGGAGTCTCACGGCTCATTGCGATGATGTCGCCAGCAGCAGCAGCAGGAGGAGCAGCAGGAGTCTTCAACGGAGGAAAATGGCAACGGAACAGCCTCACACACAGGTACACGGACACACAAAGACCCTCCTTGTAGCCTGAACAGACTGTTCAGGCAAGTGCTGTTAGCAAGCATCTATGAAAGCTGTCACAGCACACGAGGGGGTGGGTGGCCAACACCATGGCCGACCGCCTTTGTCTCCCACGTGGTGATCTTTACACAATGCACCAGGTACTCATTTGAGGCTGAGTTGACCTAGGGGAGGCGCAGGACTGGTTCAGATAATTGTCACTGGTGTTGGCTGTGAGTGGGATTCGAACTCGGGCTGCCGGGTTCGTAGTGCAGTGCGCTAACCGCTAAATTACTGCTCCCCCGTACACACAGGTACACGTACACATGCACGCACACACAGGTACACACACGTATACACGGGCACCCACAAAAACAAAGACACACACACACTTGTGCACGCATGCTGGTACACAATTTTTTTGGATCTTAAGTTTCGTATCAGGGCCCAATTTCTGGATGAACTAAAGACATCAACAACACATTCCTGATACAGAGGCGTGTGTCCGCGTGTCCGCGTGTCCGTCAGTCCAGGTGCTCAGGGACCCCCCGAGGACGGCCCCCGCCCCCTGGGCCCCCGCCCAGGCCCCTACATCAGCAAGGGACCCCTCTGGCGGCTAGGGTAGGAAGGGGAGGGGTACCTTGTACCCCCCCTGGTGACTTAACCACCCAGGAGCAAACGGCTCCAACCGCACCGCCCCAACCGCACCGCTCTTGAACACGTTGTACACCACGGGGGTCTCCCCCCCACCTGGATTGACCACAGCTCCACCACCACACCTCCAGCACCAAACAGTACCGCCACTGTGGTATACATTGGTTGGTATCAAAAATATTATATATTTAGAAATATTCATTTAAAGTGTTACAAATAAAATTATTAAACAAATTCATTAAATTAAATGGTTAATTATTAAGCATATGATCAATGACAATTGTGCATATAATTAGGAACAATTATTGTCGATAAGGAATAGTGATTACGACTAATGAATTCAGATTATCGCATTAATCACAAGTTATTATTGGCTTTCACGTTGTCTATGGTTATGCATTATTAATTGTGATATTAATGACTTTCGCTCATCAATTATCAATAATCGACAATTGTCAGGTCTCAGAATTCAGATCTCTCCGCAGGATACAAGTTCTCGACATTGAGAAATATGATGCATGAGTTAGGAAGGAAGCACTCAGTCCCTTAATTAATCTAAGCAACTTTAATACCAGCTTACATTGACACCTACAATTTCTTATCAGAGTGCAATTACATTACAAATGCAAATACACGTACAGTACTCATCAATGCGTAGCAAATGGTTCGAAAGGCATCAACGAGCAAATCATACGATTATACGATTTTTAAAAAAGCAACAAGGCTAACATCTCAGGGCGATGCGACAATACACAATTCGTTTGTTATGATGTGCGATGCATGGAAGCTAAGATTCTTCAATTCTTCCATGCAAAGCTTGGCCCGCGACCTGTACAAAGTACAGGTAAAATGATGAGCGAGTGAAAAGTTAAAGTACCGTCTTCTCTCTTCTCGAAAAATACCTCCAGTCCCACGAAGATGCGTTGAATAGTAGGGTTGGTCCGCTGCTGGACCACGCTGCTCGCTGGACGTTCACAGGGTTGTCTGTGCATCATGCTCGATCTACAGCTGGATTGCTCTGCTACTCCTGAAACAGCCCGCTGCCAGTTAGTCATCTGCTGCTCCGCCGCACGTTCACGGGTTGTCTGTGCACCAGTCTCGATCTGCAGCTTGAGCTCGCTGCGGCCGCGCTGCCCCGGCGCTTTTTGCTCGTCAGCAGCTGTGGGAGTGGCTTGGTTTGCTGGCACCAGTTGCTGCTCACGCTCGGAGGTCAGCGGCGCGCAGGCAGCAACAGGTTCTGGCGGAGGCTGCGTGCGACAATTCTGACCACACTCCCAGCCTCTTCACACCTCATACAATGTCAGGCAGGTTGACTTGACAACAGAACTCTTCCAGCCTATAGCTTAGACAAAGAATTAACGTAATTAAGATAGAAAATATATAGTTCTCCTGAATTATCCTTAGGTTCAATACTTCAACACGAACTTCCATAATTCCATTATCAAGATACAGATACTTAATCCAGACCTCATGACAATGATGTACGGATACCAGTGATTGTTAATAAGAACACGCAAAAGTAATAAAAAAACCTTTTGACCCTGGGCTGCATTGTCATGCAGCGGTACGTCCCCGAACACACATTAAAGTTGAATTCTATAATGCTTGAAAATATTCTGAACGTTTCAGCTCTCTAAACGCCAGGACTTAATTAAAACAGCTTAGATGCCAAGTGTGGCCGGTTTCCTGCCATGGGCCCTGTTAAAACAGCAGGGTGCCCATTTATGGCCTTTCTGGTGAGAAGGGAGTCTCAACAGTTCTGGCCACTGGTTATCATCCCAAGCCATGAAGCCTCTTTTGTTTTCCAACTTTTCACTGGTGCTCATTGGTTTTTGGTGTGTCAGTTGTTCATATTCTTGGTTCTTTCATTAAAGTCACGTAAGGGATTACGAGGGTTTGTGAAATTAAAATTTTTAAAATAAATTTTGGAAAAAGCCAAATACACAACACCACCACACAGGTCCACCAACCACACACCTGCACCAACCACACCTCCAGCAACCACACAGCTCCACCACCAGGGTTGCCAACGATTCCCCAGGTCTCAATGTTGATGCTGCTGCCCAGGGGCCGGTGTCGCTGTTAAGGCCACCTGTGCCCAGCGTCGTCACCCAGGGCCCATCTCGACTTCTCTTCTGCTGCTGGTTGGGGCTCGCTGCTGTTTTTTCCGCTGCTGCTGCCGCCACCACTACTTCGGCTCCCGCTTGCGCCCGGCTCTCGACCTCGCCGACATCGCCGCTTGGGGCCCATCCCTCCTCTTCTCGCTCCCACTGTGGGCGGCCTACCCGTGCCCAAGGGCCCGTCGTGTTGTCTCCGTGAGCCTGGCGTCACCGTCGCACATTGGCGCCTGGTGTTGCTATCGCCTCGTGTGCGTCTGGGGTCCCCCGTGGATCCCTGTGTCCGTGCGTCCCTGTGGGTCCGTGTCTCTCTGTGTCTGGATGTCAGTGTCCTTAGTGTCTAGTATGTCCCTGTGTGTATGTGTGCACCTGGGTGTCCAAGAGTCCCTTGTCCCTGTGTGTGCCACCCTCCAGTGGGCGCTCCTCTGCACGTCCGCTCTCCTCCGTGGTCGGATTTGAGCTGCCGTGGGGGCGGAGACGTGAACCCGGAGGGCGGCGCCAGGCCGAAACGACCCCTGACCCCACACGGCCACAGCAAGAGACAGGGGTACGCGCGGCCTCGACAACTCCGTTTTTGTCCTCGAGAATTCTCGCTCCACCAAGCATTCACCCCACGAATGCGTAACCGCCGTTCGTTTTCCCTACAGATAAGAGCCATGATCCCGTCCATCTTCAGGCACCTTTCACCCAAGCAGGTGAGACGACACCGAGTCACTCGTCACAGCTGTCACCAACCATACCCCCAAAAACCTGATTATCCACAATCCACACCCATCCAATAACTCACGGTGCCATCCGATTATCTGCAATCGACTAATTAAATAATCGCTGATATGTAATTGGCCACGATTCCCGGTGCTCCGTGTTCCACGTGACCAAGCGCGACCTCACGAATGTAAGTCGCAAAACAAAGGTGGCGAGATCCACGTGCAACATTGACAACACGCGGCCAAGATGACCTATGACCTTATCCACGACTTCCACGTGACCCACGACGCTAACCCTCGCCCCTCACCCCGCAGAGGCGCAAACAGGGGGCGAACGGCGAGGGGGTCCAGGAGCAACTCCACGTGGAGGCTCCGGAGGACCCGCAGCAGGACCCGCAGTAGGACCCGCAGCAGGACCCGCAGCAGGACCCGCAGCAGGACGCGCTCCGGCCTCACGCAGATACAAGCTGACCACCCTCGGCATCCACACTCACGCCCCGGGGTTGACGTCGCGCCAAAATATCTTGACCGGGTAGACCGGAGCAGGTGGCTCATGACGAGCCGAAAAGCAGCGACAGCGAGAGGAGGTAAACTGGACGAAAAAGTGTTTTCTGGTCGCCGACCCGGAAAGACGCGGCTGAAATGGAGCCCTGCACGGTGCCCACGCTGGTCATCCGGAACCGCAGCTTTACCCGTGCCACGCCGGTGATCGGGACTCTAATCCTGGCCTCGCGAGTTCCCTCCTGGCTCCATGATCAACTCGGTGCACGGGAGCACCGATGCCCGGGCCGCTGCTGCCCACATGTTTCGTGATTAAATGCACTTGGGACCGTGGACTGACCGTGTGCCCTGTGTCGGGAGAGAGAGGGAGAGACGACGCGGGGAGGTGGGATCAGGTAAGGGCCGAGCACCGAGTTACCCGCCACGCGCGCCACGCCGCGCCAGCGCTCACGACACCTGCCGGGGAGGCCGAGCGGTGAATGAACCGCGGCGGTGCATCCGCGGGGGCGAGGAAATAGGGGGCGGTTGTTTTAGTTTCAGCTGCGGTTCCCGACCCAGGTCTGTGGTCCGCAAGGTCATGGGAAATGTCCGGAGGGTTGAGGGCGACCGTCCCCAGAAAGGTCAGGAATCACCATGAGAACATCGTGGAGTTTGTTTTGTGAACGTGAAATTGTGTGTAAGGAATAGTTCTTGATCTATATTTCATATTCGACACCTTTAATATTACCGTACATAATGAACCCTGAAGCGAAAAGCAATCGGTTTTGATTCCCGAAATAAGCAGCTTCCCATTACAGTAGAAACAATATGGCTCCTGTGGCACTGTGAACCGGGCGTGCCGCCGGTTCCCACGACGGTCACGGCTCGGCATCGCCTTCGACCATCTCCCACGGCGTCACGAGCACCGCCGTCACGCGACGTCGCGAGCACGCAGGACGGGGCGCGAGTGGTCTCCGAGGGGGGCCGCCACGCATACGGGCAGAGTACGAATCTCAGCAGCGATTTAGATCCACATTACCAACTACTTTGAGGTGTTTAATTTAGAGGCCAATTACAAATTACGCAGTTAATGAAATAACATTTTCAATTCCACGGTAATTCGGACAATGCCCTTGTCTTCCATCCTCCGGCTGGTGGGGGAGGAGGATGAGAGGAGGGGGTACGGTGGGGGCGGGGGACGGTGGTGGGGTGGTGGGGGTTGTGCGAGTGCCACCGGCGCCGTCTACACGAGCAGGTCCGCCCGGCAGTGCAGCGTGCGGTGATACACGGAGCCCACGAGGAGGTGGGCCCCGTGCCGCGCCGCCACGGAGGAGCCCTGCAGCGTCCCGTCCATGCTGAGCAGGACCTGGGACACACGCGGCTGCGGCGAAGCGGCGTTCTCCACGCGAAGGACCTGGCAGAAGGACGGGGGCAAAGGCGTGTGGGGGGTGGCGCGGAACGCGAATCCCAGCTCCCCCACGCCGACCGTGAGCGGTGTCGTCGCCTCGTTACCGTAGACAATCGGTGGACGCAGGTCAAGAGGTCACTCGATGCTTCACTTGGGAATTCCCCCCGTCCCCCGGCCATTTTTGCTCTCATCATCTTGCTCAATTCCAGAACCACGTTCTACTCAGCTTCATGCCACGCTTCCTCCACCCACGCCGAGGTCTTGTGCTGCCAGACACGGACCGCTTCGTCCCGTCGCCACACTCTCCGACCACCACACTGCAGGTCACAACAACTCGCCCACCCACTCACCCACCCACAACACCAGCCACCCATTCAGCACACCACAGGGCACCGCACTTCCCTTTCTGCTTCTACCATCGCTTCCATCGTCTCTTTTCCCAAGCTCTCACAATAACCACGCTCAATTCAATAAACGTGTTCATAACGTCAACTGTGCTTTTTTTTGCTGGCCGTCCGCCCTACTGAAGTGGTCGCAAATATCACGATTGACTGTAAACTATTTGAAACAAAAATAATTTTACTGGGTAAGGCCCACTGAGCTATATATATCTTTTTCAGAAACGGCCTGGCCAAAAATGATAGCTCAACGAAGTGGCTTATCATGTCGAAATTATAGCAGCCAAATACTCTTGTTCATTCTAAATGTGGAGGACCTGAAGAAAAATACACGCGACCATGGGGAGTGCAATGCAATATACCGAAAATTGAAGCCACGACCTCCTGCCTACCAACTGAGGGAGTTAACGCCTCACCACCGTGGCCCGACGAAGGAAACGGACGCAAGCTCTGTAGCCCCAACCCGGGATCGCTGTGGAACCAGGACCGCGTCCTCCTCCCAGATCCCTTCCCGCAGGGAATCCACAATGCCGCGGCAAGGAGACCGGTCTACCTCCATTCCAGGGGGGCTGCTGGGGTCCGAGCGGATGATCCTCCACGCGTTTGGGTGGCACGCAAGCCACACGTCGCCCGTCGCCGAGTCCACCGCCACGTTGTCCGGCAACGACGGCAGCGCCACGACCTGCGCCCAGAGACAGGAGGCTCGCGGTCAGGGTCAGGGGTCAGGGGTCAGGGCGCACGCCGAGGGTCAGGGTTCGCGGTGGGCCCCACGTACCTGCAGTGGAACGAGACCAGGCCCGGGGCTCCTGCCGAACACGTGCAGCTCCGCTGCGGAGACATCCGCGACGTACACGTGTCTGTGGACGTCGCGCGCACGGTGACACGCACGGTGACACGCACGGTGATACACACGGTGACACACACGGTGACACATACGGTGACACATGGTGACAGCAGACAAAGATCCCACAAATAGCATGAACAGACTCTTGGGGCAAGTTGCTATTGGCGAGCGCCTAAGAAGGATGGCACATCCTTCTGTGTGGTCAACACCATGCTTGCCAACTTCGTCTCCCCAACTTTCGAAAATGGAACTGGTCATAACCACACTGCCCATGTATGGGAACTCCTCCACTCTCTCCACAAATCACTCACAGGGAGATGACGGGGAAAAGTAAACGATAACACAAAGGATAAAGTAAACAGAGTACTAAGTACACACACGCACGGCCGCTCCCATCGACCACGGCCGCTTGCTGCGGCCAGTGTCAGGGAGGGTTCAACGCTGGGGGGCGGCCGCACCTCCCGTCCGGCGACCCGGCGATGCCGTTGGCCGAGCGGAACCCGGTGGCCGCGACGGTGACGGTGCCGTTGGGTGCGCGGAAAACCACGTTGGTCCAGCGCAGGCCGAGCAGCACTTCCAGCGGCCAGAGCGCCACGGGCACCGCGTGGTCATTGGTGGCGTAGAACGAGTCAGGCCCCACGGCCCACACGTCGTTGACGCTGCGTGCAGCACGGGAACAAGAATCAGGGTCAAGAGGTCATCGCGGCCAGAGCCACCGATGCCACCGCACCTCCTCGCTACCAACGCTCTCTCCCCTCCGCCAGATCCCGCAGCTGCTGCACAGTCGAGACACGCAGCGACCTCCACAGTCTCCCACCACCACCGTGCGCTGAGGTCTTCCCTTGCCCTAGGTCACGGGACTCGTGGAGACCGCTCCGATGCCTGTCTCGGTGATCGGCCCTCCTCCATCCCCAACGCCCGCGGTCCCACCCAGCGGGGCCGTTTTAACCCTCGATCTCTACGACACTTGCCTGCAACAGCAACTTAATATTGTCTGGTTCTTTCGGTAAAGTCACGTATTTTCTATCTACATGACTTTACCGAAAGAACTAGAGAGTATGGATTCCTACAGTCACGAAAGCTTCAAATCAAGATAGCAACTTGAATATCCACAGGATATGAACTTCCGCCCAAATGCAAGTGAAAGGTCGAGACCTTTTGGTTGCGAGGAAGGGGGGTCTCACATCGAGGCCCTTATTCGAGGTCTCGCAGGGGTCTCGCAGGGGACTCACTGGGGTCTCGCAGGCCCTCACCTGCTCAGGAGGGGGTCCGTGACGGTGTGCTCGTGGACGAGCGAGCGCGACTCCGGCTCGTAGCGGTAGATCTTCACGCGGCTCTCAAAGGCGCCGCCCTCCATGGGGTGGTGGACGACGAAGAGACGCACCACCTCGTCGCCGTCTTGTCAGCCACGCCGGCCGCGAGGGGACAGGAGACACGCGTGAGCGAGTGGCGACCTCATCACGATCTCCACGAGGGTCTGGCATCTCGTTCCGCCGCATCCTCCCACCACCTCAGCCTCCCTCAGTCACCTTTACCACCTCGCGACGCCGAGAACCCAAGGGGATCGTGGTGATGCCGGCTCAACGCATCTGACCCGCGAGCCAATAAACCCTCTCCTTATTCTGCTCGTGATGCCTCACCGAGGGGCTCGGCACCCTTTCTTGAGCAGGGACCTGCTAAGTTTTCGCAGCTGCCGCCGCTGCCGCCGCATGACCGAGGATGTCGCATCCCGGGCCCAGCGGGCACCACGGCGACCCTCCCCCCGACGCGCGTGTGGTCAAATGCCGAGCGCCAACTGCCGAGCGCCCGTAGCGGTCGGGGGGCAGAGGGGCGGGGGGGGCTCAGCCCCGGTCACCTGCGTGCGACACGTGCAGGCTGATGCCGTGGGGGTTGAGGGCGGACGCGTCGGGGTCGCCCACGACGACGAGGGGCGAGGGCCGCGGGGTGCCCGCCGCCGTCACGTCCACCGTGAAGATGCCGCCCGGGCGGCCCTCGTTCAGGTCGGGCATGCCGGGGTAGCGCAGGCCCTGCGGCCCGTGGGGTGCGGGAGCGGCGCACGGGAGAGGTGGGTGCGCTCACGTTTCCCGAGGTTTAAAACAGACGGCGAACACGAGAACGGAGTGGAGTTCAGCGAGAGAGAAAGTGAGGGGGTGGGGGGCGATCGAGGGGCAGGGCCACGTGGAGCGACACGCGGCTACAAAACACGCGAGCGTGCGCGAGTGCGTGCGTGCGCAGCAAGCCACGGGCTCTAGGTGGCGCTGGAGGCTGCGCATTATTTGCAGAGTTTTAAACGTTGGACAAAACCAAAACACTTCGAGACTTTGTGAACGTTTAAAGGGTTAAGCTGTCAACACCCCCATCGGGACGGAGCCTCGCAGACAGCGGCCGGAGACTCACGGAGGAGATGAAGGCCATCCCGTCCGGGAGGAACTCAATGTCCTCCGATCCAAACCCTGCCAATGGAACAAAAAAAGAAGCACAGCAGGGACGCACGGAGTCCATGTGTACAGCTGAGTGTGTACAGGTAAGCACAGGTGTGTACGGGTGTGCAAGTACAGGTGAGTGTATACAGGAGTGTGTACAGGTGAGTGTGCACAGGTGTGTAAAGGTGACTGTGTACAGGTGTGTAAAGGTGACTGTGTACAGGTGAGTGTGTACAGTTAAGTGTGTACAGGTGAGTGTGTACATGTGAGTGTGTACAGGGGA